TATTCATTGAGTATTGAGTATTGAGTGTAATATGAATACAATCAATACATTTTAATAATGTATAAAAAAAATAGTAAAAATAATTATAATTTACAAATATAGAATGATTAGTAGAATTTATAATGTAAGAAGTAAGTTTTAAACATGTTTTTATTAACAGCACAGTCGCGATATCGGAATATTACCATGGATTTACCCAAAATAGATTTTAACTTCTATAATAAATATGATAAAAACAAAAATAGCTAATTTGTGAATGTAGATACACTGCCTCTATTGGTGATAAACAACTTATTAATTTTTTGGTCGGCGGTGGGTAGATGTATAACATGTCACTGGAAAAATAACATTATTATTATAAATAATGCATAACCTACCCTCTACAGATTATCACTTTCTATCGCCAATAGTCTAATTATTTCTAAATAATCATTTTCAATTTTTAAAAAAATAAAAATTAAAAAATTAAAAAATAACTTTTGAAGAATTGTACAAATATTTGGTTTTCGAATTATCGTGGCCAGTAAGTCTGGTTTGACAAATATTTTCAAGTTCGATTTTCGAACAGTAAAATATGCTTGATAGTTCGGTTCGATTTTTTTCACGCCGAGTTTGAGTTTCGAACCGAACCGAAAATCAAGGGTTCGGTTCAATTCGATTCGAAATTCAAACAGTTCGACCATCACTAATATATATATATTTAATGATTGTTTTGGTTTTAGTACACATTATTTCAAATACGTTTAAATAGATATTCTATTATGTATTTATGAATTATAATTTGTAACCATTTTTAACAACACATTAGCTTATCTACTAGAAAATAATTACATACCCAATATATTTTGTATTTTATTACGCTGTATAGGGACCGATATCTCCTCGTTATTAACATCATTAAAACCATATAGATCTTCACCGTGCGTATATCCTATGGATTACCTTGTACGTTTATAAATATAATCGATATATTGTACCAGGAACAAAAGAAAACCCGTTACGCAGTTGAACGTACGTGCAGTGGGGACGAGAGGAAACTGCAGCCGGGTAAGAGGACCAATAAATATATGTGTAATGTTTCTCGAAGTGGGGATTAAGGGTGGTATACGACGTGTGCGCGATCGGTAAATTTCATTAAAAAATAAACGTGAACGTAAATTATTGGATCCAAACGACCCCCTACGCACGGGCTTAACCCGATTTAAGACTAATTGGATAACATTACCGGCTGGGAAATAATAATCGATTTTTATCCGTTTAAAAACTTTCGAAGAGTTCACCGCGAAACCGAGGATTTATTGGTCGAACGGACTATACTACCTTTATGGTACCAATACATAGTTAAACTGGTAAACGAAAGTGTGTTTCGTGCTCTGCGTCCCAAAAGAGACACAAATGAAATTATTTAAGTACCTATATACTTCTTAATAATTGAAACGCCATGAAAATGTATTCTTCTCGTGCTTTTCTTCTTTTTTATTATTTTTTTTTTTTTTTTAATAGAATTTCATTAACACTTCATTATTTTAGCCTCCGGTGAATACTGCAGGCTATCGGTAGCACATCGCATTGATTATTATTATTGTTCGTTCTAATTATCATACCAATAAAATGTTATATTTATTATTATCCATGAAATATCTCCAGGCGTCTAATCTGTCTGACGCGTAGAGAAAAAGTTAGTTAAGAAAAACATGAATTTTCGATAACCGTTTATGATTGATTGCGGTTTTAAATGTTAATGGTCGTAGAGCATATAATTTACATAATCATATTTTGACATGAAAATAAACTTACGGTAACATAACAATAAAGATGTGGTAAGAAGACTACGCCATGTATTTCTGTAATACGCCCAAATATGTGTAATGAACTTCTCTTAACGGCTGATAAACAAATTTAAATATAATATAACAACTCCGAAAAGTCATACGCGCGCGTAATAAATGTATTATATTATAACTATACTCCGTATGCATATTATTATGTTTCTGTATCGTGCGCAGCACTTGAATATTAAAGAAAAAATGTTAAACATCTTTCACAACCTGTACCCAAAGAATTGGGTAAAACCGCTTTAGGCGATAATGAAGTGTTCAATGATGCAATACTACTTTTTTTCCTTTTTTTTCACCAAAGTATTTGCACGTAGTCTTTTTTTTCCTCTTAAAGGATGAGTGGATTTATTAAAAAGCCCTAAAGGTCCGTTACACTTGTACCCAATCTCTTTCACCTTTTCGTCGTATGTTTGCTTTGCTACTGAAACCTTTTGAACTGTAAACTAATTTTACTGCTTATGTTTGTAGTTGTGTCTGCGCGCATAATCGTCTCAGACGTCTGCCTGCAACCGGCAGCGACGACCCTTTTTCGAAGTATTCGAATTGAAAATTCATTAAGAAAAAAAATAAAAATTATTTTAGTATTTCTTTATGCAAAACCTCTTTGATAAAAAAAATTATCTTCAACAAAAAAATTCTGTCAAGAATAAACCAAAAAACATTTTGGTTTTTTATTTATTTTTTTTATTAAATTCGAATAAGAAAAACGATGAAATTATTACACGAACTACACGACTGCAGACAATTTATTCTACTACCTATTTATATACTAGCTATTTCTATTGACACAATGTTATTATGCCAGTAAATCAATCGCAGTTAGCAACGGGGAGTCATGACAGTCGACAGATCGTAGACACTCTATAGGTGCAGTCCATTAAACGTTTCACACTGTGTTTCGTTTTGAAACAAATTGGTTTCAAAGTTTCGAAAAACAATACGTACCTACCTTAGCTAAAAATTTATATTTTTATAACTCGCACTTGAAAAAATTTCAAAATAATATTTTAAACATTAGTTTTATATTTTAAGTAAAAAGTTAACACACTTAATTCGTTCGTCATGCACAAACTAACATTAATATCGTACATGGTTTTAAATTAAAATCAATAAATATTTAACAATGTGATACTCGGTATCTATCTATACATTTAAATAATGGTCTCCATGCGAGTGAATTATATTGATTAGAATGTTTGATAGCTCTAAAAGTCCTAGTTGTAATTGATAACATTATTAAAAAACAAATTTTCTCAGGAGGTAGTTATATTCAAGTTTTAGTTAAAGTACAATAAAATTGGATAAGCTATTTGTGCATTATTCTTTAGTTTAACCCTTTAAAAAGCAACCTTGGAATATGTAAATGCACCTCAGGTAGCAGTTTTGCATTTCATGAAAGCAGTTCATAGAAATATTCCGAATAATCGTTAAAATTTCAAAAATTCGTTGAATTTATTTATGAAATTATTTTCAAAAATAAATCACCAATAAAATCAAGATTCAAATGAACAAACAAAAATTGATTGAACTATTTAATAGCAGTAACTAAATAATGTTGGTACATTAAGATTCGGTAAAATTTTAATCCTCAAAAGAGTTAAAAACATCCTTTTTCGGCTGATTGTACTATGTCGCAATGGAAACAGCTCTCGATATTTTGACACAACCCTTACACGCACTTTTATTGTTCCCGTTATCCTCGTGACTATATATACAATGTATGTTTTAATTTATGTGTTATACAGTCAAAACCATTAATTTTAATGCATACATTTTATAAACTGATAATTTATTGATTATATAATGTGTCTAAATAAAAAGTGTTCAAAAGGAGCACTACTTATAACAACTATAAATACGACAATATATGATCAAAAAAATTATAGTATACAATTTAAAAAATAGACCATTTAGTATACATATTAGATTATAATATTTTTACCAACTAGTTTATTACGTTTTATAATTATGTTGTAATACTTTTAAGTGTAAACTAAAAACAAGACCTAAAGCGAACCAACAAAATTATGTTATTGTTGGTGTATATCGTAGGCAGTATTATAATAAATATTAAGTAGTTGTGAATAAAAATAAATTATAATAACTATATAATGTTAAAAGTCTATATACAATTTATTATTTATTGTTATTTTGAAAGACAACATCATTATTAAAAAATGTTCGAGGGTGTTTGATGGGTTTGTCCCTAACTAACCGACGGCGGCTCGGCAACGGGATTATAGGAAATTCTTACAATAATTAATTACATTCGGTTCATAAAATCACTATAATATCCTATTTATTATGGTAATTTTCCAGGAAATTAAATTCACCAATCGTCTGATTGGCAATTAAATATTTAAAAAAATAAATACTTTTGAAACTTTTCCCCAGGATTTGTACAATAGGAAGATAAATTTCAGCTGTAGGAACTAATTTCACAGTACATTTATATCTAATATTCTAGTTTATCTGGTCATAGTAATACAAATTTATCCTTTACCAGACCCTGATCTGTATTTGGACACCACTAGCGCAACTCTTCTCGATATACTATATAGCCACCCTCCGTTTTTTCATCCCTTGAGGCACCACCGGTGATTTAGCATCTCCTTAAAAAACTTCTATCTCACTGTACGTATACTTATCTCAGGTCCCCTTTGAATTTACAATTCTGTAAATTTATCGCTAAGAATATATCGATTTCAGTTAAGACTCTGCAGAATCGCTTTCCTAAATTTGTTTTTAAATCACTTGCTATATACGCATCGATGATATTGCAATCACATAAATATTTAATCTAGGTATTTATTTGTAAATTATTCCATTTCATTTGTCGTAAACATACTTTTCGCCTAAATTTATTATTTTTAATATAACAGTTTTACGTAAAATTTAACATATTAAATGTCAGAACTGAAGTAAAATATAAATTTTTTTAAAATGTAGCTTAAAACAATTGAGGTATTTTTACTACCAAATAGTGCATTGATTATTGTTATCTAGTTAAAAATTACTAATAATTAGTAAATGTTCATTGCTAAATTTTTATCTTGTAATAATTTTTCTTTCTGTGATCACCATTCATAAAATTAAATAAATGTCTAGCTATCTAATAGGTATATTTTTATTAAATTATTTTATTTTATTAAAAACTTGCAGCGTGCAATTGTCATCCAGTGGGTGCATCCGGAAAAACATGCAATCACACTACTGGACAATGTCCTTGCAAAGACGGCGTGACCGGAATAACATGCGACAGATGTGCCAAAGGATATCAACAAAGCAGATCACAAATTGCACCATGCATAAGTAAAATTTTATATGATTCATGTTTATAAAATTTGGTATTCATCTGATATAATATATCGAATATAATTTTTACAGAATTACCATCAAAGATTTTTGTGAACCAAATGTCGGCAGATGCTCGTGCAGCTGAAAATGACAGAGGAGACGAGGGGGACTACGATGAAGACGATGAAGATGACCATAGAGGTATTTTTAAAAACAGTAATATTTAATTGTATAGTAGTAATTTTATATTACATCGGGTATGATTGTGTTCTGGAGTAAAGTTATTTAATCTTCCCGCAGTTTGATTTGAAACTTTTTTTGTGTGAAATATATAGTCATTATATTTTTAATTGATCTCAAAATAAATAAGTGAAAACAGAACTAAAAATTAAGGAAATTGAGGAACAAGCATGACGAGTCATAAACATAAACATATTTTGAAACGAATAAAAACAAATCTTTTATTATACATCCGTTAATCAAGTTATACCGATTTAATTTTATAGTTTTTTTATTTATATATATAAAAAGGAATTCGTTGGTTTTTTGGCCACCAGCCACGTGTTAATTTGAATAAAAGCGTTCAAAATATCGTCCTCGAGGGATTTAGGAATTCATGGGTAAATAGCTAGGTTCGGATCGGGTACGTCCAAATTGTTAATGGATTACGGGCTTGTTCCGACCAAGGGGTTGTGAATTCCATTTATCAAAGTCGTATTCCTTTTCTTAAAAAAGATAATCGACCAATTTAACACGCTTATCGCGATAATACTAACACGATTATTTTTCTTACGGACACTCATTACACGACGGAAGAATGTTTAAGGACCTCTGGCGAAAAAAAAATACAATACATTGGAACGTGTTTCGTGTTAATGCATATATTTCCTTCTAAACGTATTGACCGTAAATAAATCACTCATTACATCGGATATGAATATTATAAGAGATTCTAATGTAGACACTTGACCGAGATAATTTTTTTTCAAAACCTCAGAATCTGTAGCACGTGAAATCAAATTTTTATCTACACCTTTATATTAGTAATCAAACTTGAGGTTTCGATCATGTGCGTATCAGTTATCAAAGATAGATCGTTAAAACTGCTACAGTAGTTCAATCAACAGCTCATCCGCAATAAGAAAAAAGTACGGCCGATAACGCGTTATTGAAGAGCAAGAGGGTTAACTTATTCTTGGCCGGACGGCCAAATAAATAAGACCCTTACGCAATTTAACGTAGATGTTATCATCATTAAGAGGAGGCGTATAATGACCAGCAGCTATCAATATATATATAGCGTAGTGCTACATCTCACCCCTCTCGACTTGAATGCGTTTTCGTGCGGAGAAACTAGATTCTTTTCCGATCTTTTGCAATGCATTACACAGATACGCTACGACATTTTATCGCACATCGTACTGGTTACTGGTGAGCACTCAGAATAATAAATATTTTATATGTATATACTATTCACCGGTAACAACGTTCTTTGAAAACGCTCTCGGGGGACGCATATTGTTATCACAGTATACATAACTTGAGAGAAAGTTGGTGGAAGAGAAAGAGAGAGAATGAATGAGATGGAAATGTATTTTAAATTTAAAACATAGGTATATTATGTGCCGTGAGTAATTGTGCGGAGACAATAAAAAAATGAATAAACTCCTCGAACGTACAACAACCACGACAAATGACTTTTGGATGTTTATGTGAGTCCTCGCGCGCGGGTGTGTGCAGCGTGTATACGTAGGTCAAGTGCTTTAAGCGGAAACCTGACACCGATTCGACAAGGAGATTGACAGTTATTATATGGTCGTCCGCGACAGTGGTGCAATATACATATACCGGGTTAATGTGCGTAAATTTATATATGTATATATATATATATGTTATACCTACCGCGAAGGTGATAACTGGACTATTAATTTATCCTCGTTTTGGGGTGGTCTCCGTTTAACAGGTTTATGTGGTTCTTCATAAATTATACACTGCCGAGTGGTTGGCCTGAATAATTTCTACTGCCTACGTGTATGTGCACACGCGTATTTGTACTTATTGTACTTGCCGATGATAAAACGAAATAAAAAATTGGGTACAAAAAATAAAAATAACGAGTGCGGGGCTCGCAGAGATTGAAACTCGTAAATTCCCCCATTCCCTCTCAACAATTCGGCGGCGCAGGTTTTCGGCAGAATTTTTACCGTATTTACCGTCCATAAACGTCCTATGACATTATTACACAGGGTACTTAGTGTTTGCACTACGTAAAATATATGCAGGTATATTTACCCGGAAAACGAACGACTCTTGTCTAGAGTTGAGTTTATTTTTTTTTTTTTTTGTTTTTATAACGACCCCATGTGTAGAAGATCGTAATATTATTCTATATCGTAAAGTATGTACAAACATTTTTTTATTTAACAGATCAGTGCGGAAAGTGTCGATCCGGAACCAGGAGACTGAACTTGAACAAGTACTGCCGTAGAGATTACGGTACGTATATTACATTAACCGGATTTTCCGAGTGAGCGGTGCGGGGGGAGGCGTACTGTTGGTTAAATAACAACGACAGATACGAAGTCAACATCAAACAGGAATCGGGTGTTCTTGAAAAAGACATAAGAGAGATTTTTTTTTAAAGGTCCATAAACAAAAAAAATCGAAAAACTGTTCTATGTAACTCCGTAATGCAACTTAATAACTTTTCACGCATTTTTGAACACGACAAGTATAAAGAAAAAATATATGGGAAAAAAATGTAAATTCGCTAAACGTATCCGTATATTATAATAAATTGTACGTTTATATATTATACACCTTGTCAAGTAAGTATTTGATATGCCATGACAACAAGAAAAAACTATATTTCTGTACAGATGCACCTTAAGCTAGTCATATCGCTTATTTTTATCCAACTTCAAAATAAATATAGTTAATCAAAAATGAATAATAAATACAATGGGGACTTTATTTTTGTATCACTAGTGCACGCAACAATTACAGTTGATAATAATTTGATCTTTGCAATTAAATGAGTGTGAATATGTTAATTATTATATATTATTTATTACTATTATTGTTATTATTTGTTATTATTATTACATCGTTATAAGAGTTTACCTACATATATCAATTATTGGTTTATTATAATATTTTGGAGTATAATTATTATAGTCATTAACACTAAAGCCATGTCGACTTTTACATATAAATTACAATCTTATTGGATATAATTAAAATTCCGTTATCTTTATAAATTTAATTAACAGAATCATTTTATTTGCAATAATTCAAGTGATTGTGAAGATTTAGAACATAAGAACGCTCTTCTACATCGTTTAAGTTAAAATATAATTACCGGTTATGGTAGCTGCAGCACTATTAATTAATACAGTAAAATGCTGAACTTAATTTAAAAAGTTTTTTTTCTTTTCTTCCAAAAAATATAATATGCCTATTTCAATTAAAAGTAAAGTTTATCTTTGAAAAAATTAAATAAAAATTGGAGTATTAAGACAAAAACAATACCATGTTAAATAACATGGTATTGATTTAACCATTTTCCAGATTATAATCATTTAGCAATAAATAAATAAACAAAAAATAATGGACCTGTTAATGCGAAAAAGAATACAATATAATACTTATATGGCAATCTTTTAACTGTCATTAATGATCTACGATAAAAATGACTAATTATTGAACTGCGTATAGTTTTATTATTTGCAAATACAACTGCAGTTAACGTACATTTTTTTCACACTAAAATTAATGAGATTTCGAATAAAATTTTAATATTTTACTATGTATTAAATAACCCTAGGTCATCATTAGTTAAGAAATCCAAAGCGTTAGTAACTTACATCATATATAAGTATAGATACTTGTTATTACAAAATTACTCTAATAACTTATAAATAAATCAAATACTTATATAAATATTATTTTTCCCGATGTTGTCACTGCTAAATTCTTTATACCTGATGTTTACAGAAAACTTAGTAATTCATAAAATGCCATTCGACTTCGTTATACATTTAGCTACGATTCGAAAATGTTTTTTTATCTTTGCGACTGTATTTCATTTAAAATGGAAACGTGTTAAATTTTCCCAGTCTAAACATTTTTTACAAAAATCAATCAACTGTACAACATGTAAGATAATAAAAATTCAATAGGTAACATAAAAATCTATTTGACAAGACTCACATATTGAATAAAACACTAAAAAGTTAATAAACTGCTACTGCGTAAAATATTGATTTATATACGTCAGACAATTATTAGACTAGTTTGGAGTTTGGATGTCGATAAAATATAGAAATTCCGACGATACCTCGTTGTAGTTCAAAATGTTCAAATATAAATTAAAAATTACTTACCTAACAATTAAATAACACGTACCTACGTCCAGTAACGTTCTTTAAGTAAGTGATTGCAAAACGGAAGCCACTGCATTCGAAAACAATATTTTTTTAATCGAATAGATGGTGCGCATGCAAATGAATATTGTGTAACGTAATAATAAACAGTATACAGTACTATGGGATTTCATTTGCAGCTATTTTGGGGAAAATGTCGGAACCAACCATCTCGAAGAACTGGGCAAAGTTCACGATGAACATACAGTCTATTTACAAGCGCGGTCATACGTCGAGACTTCGTAGGGGACCGGCCACGCTTTGGATACACGATAACGACCTGAAGTGCAAGTGCCCTAAGATCAAACCCGGAAGGTACGTGCAGTTGAAATAATTTCGTTTTTCTGCGTTTAATAATAATTATCAATGCCCGGATGTTGACGGGACGAGTATCGTATTGACGAAGTACAAAACTCGACCTTAAAATGCACATAAATCGATCGTTGAATAATTCCATTCGAAATCGAAGAAAATTTATTTATTTTAAATCGTAATTTTTTTTCATCGTATTCATTATAATTTTGAAGTTAAAACACTAAATCTTAAGTATTAACATCGTTGTGATCAGGACGAATTAAAATTAATGTCAGGAAAAAAAAAATACTCGATGATTATGCGCATCGTCTAAACACATATTTCGTTATGGAAAACGTGGTTTGAAAAATTTTCGCAGAAACGGCGCAAAAGTCGTAAACAAAAAAAAAACCATGCCCTGTACTGTACGGAAGCGGTCACAGATCACGCAGTGGCTTGTCATCAGTTCTTCGTATTTTATTTATGTGTGTGTGTTACACGTGCCCCCAGGTTGTACCTGATCCTCGGCAAGGAGAACGACGGCGATCGGCGCGACGGACTGGTGTTGACGCAGAGATCGATAGTGATCGAGTGGCGGGACGAGTGGCACAACCGCATGCGGCGATTCCAAAGACGGGCCCAGCACTGCGATTGAAGCACGCAAAGACAAATTCAACGAACCCGCCGCCCCTCCCGAGAAACCACCGCCATCCAATCCCGACCAAATCCTTTTCCTCCGGTATATACGTACAACATACGTGATGCACCACGGTTAACTCGCGCCCCTTGCCCGCGCGTGCGGTCCTCTTCGTCCTTACATTACAGGCACACCGTATACACACACTTTTTTTTTACTATACGTATATACACGTATACATCATTATAAAATATAACACACACACACCCCAACAATTGGTGCGTGCACGCGTACGGCCGGATACGATCGAACGCGCGTTTGTGCGTTCCGTGTTTCGGTCGGTCGCGGCGTGTGCTGATGGTTTCCGTTAGACGCGTGTAGAGAAACGCACGTTGTATAGACGCATAGATCTTCTACGGCGGGGATCGAGCGAAAATCTTAGCGGACGGTTACGATTTCTTTCTCCGTGCACGAGCGATTATTCGGTCGTGTTGCTCGTGACACCCAACCGCCGTGCCAGCCTGGACATTTTTTCGGCAACCCATGGCGCGACGATGTCCGCGAGTGACTGCGCGAGTGGCTCCGCTACCCGATCTCCATCCGTGTGCGTAGACACACCGTTCCCACTACTTCCCTCGTCCGTACACCGCCATGTACTCATAACATACTTTATAACATGACCTATTACGTATTCTATAGTTCTTAAGTCATTAGTTTAGCGTCCAGTACGTTTTTCGTTCATAATATTCGTACATTATAACATAATATTATATTAAACATTTTTATTATACAAAAAAAAAAAATTATCAACTATTCTATCAGTAGAGAAGCCCGAGAATACATAATTAATAATAGTATATAGCAATAAACGATTCCATTATCATATGAACACTATTATTATTATTATTATTATTATTATTATTATTATTATTATTACTATTATATATCATATACTATACGATAATGTTTTATAAACTATTACAATTACCTAGCCAAGTGTTCTAGAACTATTCAACTACCCTTCCTACCCCATCCCCTTCTTTTAACAATCATCCATCAATCTCGACTTCGTGTATATAATAGACATACACGATGTGTGTTCGTTTTGCTAAGGTAGAGATTATAATATTATTATGAAGTGTCCCATACAAAAGACATCCACTACCGCTTTCACCATAGTTATATAAAGTACTCTTCAATTCGGCTTTCGACCTTTTAATGTTTGCATATAGTTAAGTATACATGACATGAACCAAAAAAAGATAAAAAATAATATCTTTAGAGTTTTTTATGTTCGACTTATAAAATATAATATATAATATCTTATTTATAAAACATATATTATATTTATATATATTCATATCGGGTATTACGGAGATCTGACATTTTTCAATGTAAAACTGTCATATTTTTATGATACGCCCGATATTATAATATAATTATACACTACAGTCCTTATTAAATTATTATTATAATTATATCATAGTTATAGTAATCCATACATAGTGATTAGAATTTTATGTAGAATCGGTAATTCCTATTAATTTACATTTTAAGACACCTGGAGTTTAATTTTTTTTTTATTTATATATTTATATATATGCGCTTATTTTTTTCTTTACTGCGTATTTGATACTTGTAAAGTGTACGATTATTTTATTTTTGTTTATTTTTATTTATAAATTAAATGATGTTTTATTTAACATATTTTATTTTATATTTCTTGAAAAATTATTTATTCACATATACACCTCCTTCTTGATACAATAATGTAAATATAATTATTATAAAGATACAGCTATTTAATAATAATTTTTACAGAAAAAAAATATGTATTAATCATTTTTTTTTTTTATATTAAGTATATTTGTTATTTTATTTTGTGTTATGTACATTTTAATTACCCTTCCCATCCACTCTAATTTATTTGTAACATTTCACTGTAGAATTATGTATAATCTTTTTTTTTTTTTTAATTCAAGTAATAAAAGTTTTTCGTGGTTACTATACAGTTTATTAATTTTTAATAGTTTTTTTATTATACAACTGACTAAAGAAATTAAGTATAACTTACAAAAATGAATACTTTTTCATTAAATTTTTTAGAGAAAAGTGAAATACTGAAATGTAACCTAACACTATAAAGATTATAATTATAATATTAAAGCCGTTTCATAAATAATTATTTGATTTTTCATTGTATTATAATAATATATGCTTGTTTCTGAAAAAATTAAAAAAATTTATTTTCTGAAAATTTATTAACATATATAAATTATGAATAATCATCAGTTATTTGATATGTAACATAATTTATTAAAGCAGCAAATCTATAGTTATGCCGTTTTTATAAACGTTTTAACAATTTTGTTGATCATTAACTGATCAAAACCCCATAAAAATTATAATTCTTTGATCATATTATTTAACACCTTGGTGGTTATCCAGGGGCGAGAAAAGGTTCGCATCCCATATTCTGGAAAATTATTTATCACCTTATTATATGACATTGTGACTTGACAAAAAATAATTTCATAAAAACAAAAAAAAATTCTCCGACGTTAAAATATGTCCCAATCTAGCATTTTTTGAAAACTTACGGTTAACCGAAAAATGTTTTAATACATCTGATACACGTTTGTTACATAATTTTTATACATGACCAATTCTTGAAAAAGGTATAAGGTTCAAATAAAACTTCGGAAAAACATGTTAAGTCTTAAAAAAAACATTAAAAGTAAAAATATAGTGGAACTAAAATTATTTAATTCATAAACTAATATAATCATTCATTCAATCATGTATTGTAGAAATAATTCAACCAATAAAGTTTTTCAAAAATTTTATAATAAGTGACAACAATAATCGGACGTATTTTCATCGCCGTGTTATATTCTATTAAATGGATAATAAATCAAATGCAGAGGCTTATGAACGTAAATTTAAACATTTCATCTACGGAGTAAATTTATTTCAAATTCTTATCTAGTAAAAATAAATATTTAGATATTTAAAATTGTAATCGAAAGTTGTATTCTAATATTTACTTTACTGGATCAAAACAGTTAAATAGGCCACTTCATATTTTCAAGACTAGATAAACAGATTTTAATGAGACTATTTAAGACTTTTTTTTTTATATTCTCAGGAATGTTAGTATTAATTTTTATTACAATAACAGTTTTTTAAATCATTCTTCGTTCAAATTTATAAAGTGTGTGTAAAATATTTTTAAGATTATTATAAATTGAGTTGTGAATACTTTAGGTTCACGACAATATTATATTGGGGAGTTTGTTTTCCCAGAGGAGAGAACCGAATGAAAACTACTTACAATAATTTATAACTGAATTTTCGTTACAGACAGAATTTGTTATAAGAAAACATTTACATTGTTATTTGGTTAACATTACTGTGAGCATTATATTCTTATTAAATCACTCTCTCAGCACTATCATCAAATAAATATCCCTCGTTCATTGTTTGCAGTCGGTCGAATGAATGTTAACACATTGATGGTTTAAAAAAAAATTCATTTTCATTTTAATACTAATTTTTTGATTTATTCGTAGATAATAAAATAATGGCATTTTAAATAAAATATTATACTTTAGGTTATTGCTTTTTAATAATAATTGTACATCTTAAAAGTGTTAGTGTTTCGTAAATATTCAGAGTTCCAATACAGTAAGCAATGGCGCGTCTTGTAAAAACATAAAATGGACCGCTTCATTGGAGCCGAAGTTGGCTGTCAAAATTTAAACATCAAAATTTTTTTTATAGTGAAAACTAATATCCCTCTCCACCTTCGATATGCCATTGAGGCCGATATTTAGTTACTGTAGTATTTTTAAATATTTTTCATCCGACTAAAGTTTTAGGACTTCAACGCCACTTCCCACACATATAGCCTGCAGACAGTTTTTTATATGCCACTATAGTCAACTATGGAGTTGATGTCTTTTTTTCAAATCCCATCAAATTCTTAGTCGATTTTTTATATATTTTAATGTTGAAAATAATCTTTCACACGCAAATTGTGTTACGGATAATTTCAATAAGAACTGGTATGCTAGCGTCAAAGTTGGATATGTGTTGGAAAATAAACTATATTTAATAAAGCCCTCGTAACAACAAAAAGGACAATTTTGACAACTTCTGTATTTTTTTATTTTATACGAATTTGAATCTTCATCATCTACAGTATCTTCGCCATCTTCACAATATTTCATATTATATTCGTCATTTACTGATTTTTTTAAATATTTCCATGAGATAGAAAAATGTAATAATTTTTCATACAAACTACTTCAATAAATGATTTAAGTTTTGAATATAATGTAGATAAAACATCATTCGGCATTCCATTTTTGAATGACTCAAAATTGTTTGGCGATAAAAGAGAAAGATCAAAATACAATGCATTATTTTTAATAAATCTTGTAATCATACTTTGTATAATAGCATCAAATACTTTATTATATACTTCAACTACAAATGTTTTTGCAGCATTAATGATTGGTTTGTATTCTTTTTCATAATCGGCCATCCTTTTTTTTTCTTCTTACACGTTTATTTTCACACGTTGAATATCACACATATCTAAATCTTCTTTAATTTTTTCATCGTCAGTATTTTCAATCTCTAGATCAATTAAGTATTTTGCCTTTTCTATGAACTTATCACATAAAATTTTTGTATTTTCCATACCTCGTTATAGTTTCTTTATTTTTTCTAAAATCCCTTCGACCATTTATAGACATTTTAATAAATTTAAGCCACATATTTGTAAATATCTGGATTAATGGTCTGTTATGGAAAATATTTTCATAAACATATGTACAATAAACATATGTACAATAAGAATATTTTCATACTTCAATAATGAAGATAGTAAACCATCAGCTTTAGATCTAATATCGGGTATAAAACTTTCATTATTGGATACAAATTTTAGATAGAGCAATAATCAACTCGGTATACAAAGCATCGTCTAATTTATTATAAGTACTATGATGTATATGATATGTATCACCCTAACCTAATGTATGCTGTCAAATTTCAATAGTCAATTTTTTGGAAAGGCTAGGCATGGTTGTATAAAATATATACATTAATTTTTTAACGATAAACCCGTATTTTTATTAAAAAAAAAAAAATTGCTTTAATCAACCTCAGTTTTATTTACAAAATATAAAAATTATAAAATTAAAAATGTTCTGAAATAGTACAAGTCATATTTATAACCGACATTAATACATCTACTATCTTTATCATATATTAACAATAAGTATTTAATTATACATTGAAAAATATATTAAATGAAATTTATTTTGTTAGCCTTTTCTTGTGCAAAAATAGACAATACATTTTTTAATTCAAGACTTCATCACTTATTTTTCAATAGAAATTATCACAAGATCACTTAACTTTTTTGGATCATAGAAGACCTCAAGTTAGTTGTTTATTATTTTTAATTTGGAAAAGTTTCGTTCACCTGATGCGACCGATACAGGCATTGTTAAAGCAATTCGGAGTGTTACAGCTACGTTTAATATAAAATGTGTTTTAGCACATTTAACAATAATTATCTGCTTACATAATAATCTTGTATTTTAGTATTTTATCTATGTAAACAAAGAAACATTAAACGAAGTTTAAGCCAAACTCAATATACATTACATTATAAACATTATTTGAAATAAATTATGTTGATTCGCATCATGTATCTACATACAATATTCATTTCAATGAGCATTAAATATTATTTTTCTTATAAAAAAAGTTAATTGAAAAAATTGATTCATAATAAAATACAAATTATATCTGGTGAGTTATATACAACATTGAGGTAACATTAAATGAAAGATAAATGTCTAAAATTGGGTTGAAACAATATAAAAAATGATTTAATGACATCTAAAGAAATTAAATCTAAATATATTTTAATGTATGGCTCAAATTAAAATATTATTTACCATCAATATTCGCGAAATTGTCCATAGCAACGGATTATTTATATTATTTATTATTCGTTTGATCCTTCACTCTTATTTTAGCCTTTAACCTATAAACATACACTCCATTATTTTTTGAAAATTTTTTTTTTTATTATAAGAAAACAATTATGGACACTTATACTACGAATGAATATTCGAATAGCATATTGTAAGTATTAATTTTGAATGTTATTGGAATAATGTTTGGAAAGTACATTTTGTAAAACATAAATACAGTGCAATTAGTCTAACATTATGTCTAAGATGGAGTCTAGATAATACAGAAGCCAGTCTTCTAGATCTTGTATGTTCAGCACTAAACCAGACTCAAATTGTCTATTGTTTTCAGTGGCGTAGTCAGAAAATATTTTTGAGGCGTTTTAAATTTTCAACTCCGATATTAGTAACAATTTTTTAATTTTAACAAGTCGATTAAACATAAGTTAAAATATAAAATTTTTTATTATTTAATTTATCGAAACTGAAAATTGTTATATATAACATACCTATTTCTTAAAAGTATTATATATTTTACAAGATAAAAGAGACTTTTAGGGGAAGGATTCATAATCCGTAACCTCTCCCTGGTTATGCCACTGATTGCACTGTATTAATTAATTAATTGAATATTATATGTATGGTTTTATAAAAAATTGATTTTGCCGTTTTTAAAAAATTAATTATTGTAATTGTAAATAACTTGAAACTAATCATCTATTGCATCGGTTCCCAACCTTGGGTACGCGTACCCCGAAGAATACGTGAGATCAGAGGTGATATTAGGGAATCTGGATCCCCTCAAAGGTCACGCGTTTAGGTTGTGATGTATTATATTTTATATATTTTGTTTAGTAACTAAAATGCTATGCTATGCTTTTTTTCTTAGTGTAAGAATTACATATTAAGACTTAAGATTATTATTATTATTATTATTATTTAAGTAATAAATTATTAATGAGTTAAACATTGTTTGTCTTCATATATTATAAGATAATGTAAAAGGACAACCCCCAGTAGGTAAAAAAAAAGGTTAAGAACCGATGAACTATTGCGTTCACAAGTTGTTGTCTAACACGCGTCTCAATTATGTCTATATACTATAACCGTACCATGGTCAGTGCTGGATTAAGGGCCAATACCGCCCTGGAGCAAACAATGTTGCCCTCTCCACCTCAAAAAAATAAGGTTAAGTGAAACCAAAAAAAAAAAATCCTGGTTTTTATGTATTAATTAAAAAAATAAAATACTATTATAAAATATAAGTTAAATATAATAATTAATCTACATAAACCCAGGATTCATTTAATGGGGGTGTTTTAAAATTGAATAGACTTATGATAAGTGGGGGCTCTCCCCTTCCCGTATTACATTAATGAATACCATGTATTTATATAAATTATTATATAAATGAAAACGATTATATTAAGACTGTATAAGTAAAATCTACAAGTTGTATACAACGTTTCTTCAAATTACGCTGTAAGTAATTAGGGGGTGGGTGTTCTAACACCCATATCACTCCCCTAAATAAGCCCCTGACTTAAACTAAAAAGTATAATTAGGTATATGATTAATGTCACAGAATAGTTTTGCAAAGAATTTTTTTAAACAGAAAATATTGACAAAATACAATTATAATATTTAATAGTTACAAGTTTTTATGTTTTTCATATTAGTTCTTCTCACTTCATTTCCTCAATCAAATCAGATTCTGTGCATAAAATTGATAAGTTGGACATTTATTCTTATATTAATGACGATCTTAAATAATTTTTATGAGGCTATTTTATTTATGCCGCCCCACTAAATTTGCCGCCCCGGAGCAAATGCTCCTTTTGCACCTAGGTTAATCCGGCCCTGACCATGGTGTTATATAATAGTTATTTAATCTGACAGAACACCGTTTTCGTGTTTTCATTTTTAGGATGCCATGCGAACATGTTTTGGTGAAAACACTCAAGTGCACCAAAAAATGTTCCAAGTGCAAACAATTGAAGTGGCCGTGGTCCAAAGCTGTCGGCTGCATCAGTGAGTATATATGAGTTGTTATCGGCCGCGCTCAGTGTTCCGATACCGATCATAAGACAACGTGCACACTAACCATAACGGTCATTTTTTTCTTTTTCGCAGAATGCATGAAGGTCTGGCACCGGCGGTGTCGGCCAGTCAAACACGAAGTCGTCGACCGCACGGAAGAACCGGTCGTGGTCGCTTCTGCAGCAGTCGCTGAGGAATCGAAGGGGTTGGAAAACTCGATTTCCAGCACAATCAAGGCCGTAGTTAAGTTTTCGGAGTACCCGCGCCGGCGGATCCGCAGCATCCAGACGGCCGATGTCGCCCAAGAACCATCGCTGTACGCCTCGTTGGATCTGTGCCCGGCGACCGCTCCCCGCCTGATCGTGGCACCCGCAACGGAAAACGTCCGCATCGCACGGGCCGTTTCGCTGGACGCGTGGTCCATGTTCGGCCACCCGATCAACTGGCCGGGACGAACCGGCGCCGGCGTATGTCTGGAACGGCTCTTTGCGCTGAGATTGTGGCCAATAGCGGTTCGACCGGTCGCACCACCAAAGTCGGAAAACGATGTATTATTCGCACGATCCGTTCCGGACGAACACCAAGTCCGAGTGATCGTACGGACGGCAGACGTCGAAAAGTCCGTGGTCACCGCGGACACAGTGGTCGAATTGTTTTCGCACCACCCTCGGACGACCGCAAGCGCCTTAGATTGGTATGGCCAACTGTTGCCGGCGGGCTGCTGGTTGCTTCCGGCCGTTTTTCAATGGGCTCGGCCAACGATCAACGCCGCCGCCACGGGGAACGTATTGCTGGCCACCGTCGCAAGTCCGTTGGCCGCACCACTGGCTGGTCCAAAGCGCAACTAGTGTCATTGTATGGATTGCAAAAGCCGTCGATTATACATTGCGGCGTCTGATAATGCGGTCAACAGTTGTTGGTTCAGTTATTTATTTATTTTTGCATTAATTGCATTTATTTTTTCATTTTCCCATCATAATATGGGAAAAACTATTTAATTGTTGTTTCGCATTTCAGTCATATCGACTATACAAATTTGTTTCCTTCGTTTTTTTTTTTTTGTTCGAACTAAACAATTATAAAAATATATTTAGTGTTTATGTTTATTTTATGATGTCTTTATTCGTTATTAATAGGACCAACTTTTAACTAAAATACATATAAACAATATAGCGTATTGATTGATTTTGAACAACACTTTCAGCCATTATTCAATTTGAAACTAAATATAAGTTAACCAAAGCTAAAGCATGAACTTAATGTTTAAGAACAGGAACGTTTCTGTAATTAGTGGCATAAATTACCTCTAACCAGCGCATTTCGGTTTCGAGTATCCAAGTGATTGCGTACAATGGACGGTTTTGTTAAGGTACAGTAAAGTAAGGGGACACATTTAAATTAAATCAAAATTAATTTTTTTATATAAAATAAGGTCCAAAATAAAATTCGCCATAAACACTATGGAGACGGCAGTTTGTATCAGCTCAACCAAATTTATATATGGGATTAATACATACATGCATATAAAAAAATTGAAATGTATACAAAAACTAAATGTTTTTCCTTCAACAACATACCATAAAAGTATAATTGAATGCATAGAGGGCAGGAACACGCATAAAAACTTATTTAAAATATTATTACGGCAGAGTAATATAGTTGAGTATTAGTACATATATATCTAAAAAACAATGATTATTCATCATATTTAAAAAAAGATTTTGAGTTAAGGTTAGAGTAATTTACATTTTGTGTATTTTATCCAAGTAAAAATAAATAGTATATTTATTTGCTACCATTATACCTTAATAAGAAATATACTGTAATGTTTCAAAGATATTTTATTCATATTAACATGTATAAAAATATATAATTAAATAATACAGTTTATACTTGAATTATTATGTATGTGTGAAAATATAAAATTAATCATTGAGTAATATTAAGATTGAGTATTTCCAAAATATGAACCTGTCGGAACTTTATTAAAAATTATCAATGCACTAATAGTTACATAATGACTAAACTATTTCATTCACAATAAAAATATTTTATCAATTGTCTCACTTAGGACCGTGTTAAGGGGAGGTCAAAGGAGGCAATTGCCCCCTGGCACTGTAATTTTTTAAAAGTAAGGGGGCGCCCTTAGCTGCACTTAATATGCTATCTGTGCCCAGTGGCCCCGTAGAAAAAATTTTGCCTCGAGGCGCTGAAATGTTTGACACGGCTCTGGTCACACTATAATCACCCATAAATATTCATGATATTTCAAATATAAGCATACAAAAAAATAAAAATTTTAAACACACATTAACAGAAAAATATAATTGTAAACCAATAAGTTTTTTGATTTGCTTAATTTAAAATAAATATTAAGTGATTATACACATAGATTTTTTAATTTTGATTTATTGTAATTGATATTGGTAGTATTTACTGTAGTAGTAAATGTATTGAAATACTTATAACTAGGGAACGGATTTATATGTAATAAAAATATATAAATATGTACATATTTATGTAAGTATAATTTATAAAATATGTGCTAAAACCATCCAAATATGTAGGAAAAAAATTTAATAAAAAAAAAAAAAATTATAATTATTAAATTATCAAAATGATTTGTTGCATTGAATTATTACAATTTTAAATTATTAAATATTAAATATCGCCTATTAGATCTGAAAATATTTTTAAAACTGCTAAATGATCATTCCACATCAACCTACATTGGTTGATTTAAGCATATTTGAAGGGCATAATATTAGAAGGCGATAATTCCAAAATTTTAGAAGGACGTCTGCCACTCTATGTCATTGATTGATTTATAATCAATATGGCCCGAAATTTTTCTCTGTAACAACATGAATTTTCTTTTTTACAACTTCGCCTATTGGTCCGTTTACGAGTTTTCATTATGCAATCGTTGATTCGACAATTTGCATACTTTCATTCAAGGACATATTTTTGTTTCTTATTTTGTAAATGTATGTGCAATAAAACTAAAATTCACTGAGATGAAAATTAAATTAGTTTTCAATGTTTCATTTTGCATAATATTTTGAGCTTTTCTAATAGCGATATAAGTTCTGGATCTAAATTTGAAATAATTTCTTGTATTTTTGTATGAAGAAGACGTATGAATGATGAAATAACAAAATATGTTTAAAAATATTTACAAATTAGTGATATATGTAAAAATATGGAATTATACCAAAATATGTAAAAATATGTAAAATAAAAGTAGCATCATATTAATAGAAATGATTTAAATCATGAACATTTCTTATCAAATTTTAAATATCTCGTTTTAATAAAAATATGTATTTACATATAAATCCGTTCCCTACTTATAACACTTTTTTTCAATTAAAAAGGAAAGATTTTTTTTTTCTCCAAATGATTTATATGTATTTTTACTGTGTAAAATTCTATCTTAATTTTTACATATTTTTCTGTTTTATATTAAAATATTTTTTTATTTTTATTCTTTCTTCATTAATAACATTTTTACAAAATATTTACACAGCATAGCTGCCTCATTAACCTGAAACATATTACATCTTACTGAGTAAAATCATACATAATTTTATTCATTTATATTATAATATACTAAAGTTTTAATACGAAATCATAATATTATTAATAATTTATCTCTCACAATTTCATTCATAAACAATATTAAATAATAATAAAAATCTTTACCTGTAATTAAAAAAAAATTATCAATAAAAAAATAAAAAAATCCTTTATGTAGCTTCATACTAAAAAAAATAGGAGCAGCTACAAAGGATCATCATTTATAGGTAAATTGTTTAATTGAGCTTCAAAATGATAAACTAATAAATTCTTAAAATAATATATTTTTGAAATCTATTTACTATAATAAAAAAATATATTTTTTAAGTGTAAAAACATTTGTTTAATTGATTTTTTTTACAAAATTACCAACTATTAACAATAATTATGAAATACATAGATATAAATATTTGAACAGATATCAATAATTAATTATAAATTATACTTATAAAATTTATGATTAATAATTAATTGGAATAGTTTTGTCGAATATCATGATAATGCAACAAATATATTTGCAATTAATAGAAGAATGATTATCACCCAAAGTCCTGCAAATTAATTTAAACAAAATAATATTTTTTAACATTGATTATTTAACATATACATACCCCGAGTTGAATCTTTTTTCAATATTTGACCAACATTCTTAGTCTCATTTTCAATTCCAGCTGTTGTTTTATCCATTTTTACCAATAAATCATCAACCATCTCTACAATATATTATATACATTTTAGTAATCAAAAGTATAAAATAAAGTTACTATTTTACTAACCGTTTTGCATATCGACTTCACTGCTTATGGTAATAGCTATATTTTTCTGTCTAGATACAATTGATGCTAATTCGTCTAACCCATCATCTTGCTCTATAAAGATACAGATTAAGTATAATTTAAAAACCTTACAATATTTTTAACTCAAACCTTTGAGCAAGTATTGTTGCTGTTGTTTAAGTGCATTTTCATTAAGCAATGGTTTTTCATCATCGTCACTATCCAACCAACCAGTAATTGGTGTTTCAACTTTTTTGGCTGCTACCTTACTGGTACTAGGTCTCATTAATTCCTGACGCTCTAGCATATTACTATTATTTCTAGAAAATATATTAATGTATTTCAACAAAATTGACCATTGATGATTTACAGTTATAATTTTGAGGTAGCCATTTCAGATATTTTAGAATGATGGATGCATAATTCAGGGTAATGGGTAAATACTGGGGAACTAAATCTAATAGATCTTGATAAATTTGAGATATTTAAGCAGGACAAAATCATGTATAAAAATGTATAACATTTTTTTAATCATTTCTATTTATATCAAATATTACTATCTATAAAATAATTTAAACAACCAATATGACTTCATTGGCTAAAAAATAAATAGGCCTTGATAGTCTTATTGTTTATTCAGTATTGGTTACAAATTCCATTGCTTCTAGGTAGTAAAGTTAGATGGGTGATAATAATTTCAAAGAGTAAATACAGAAAGAAAGTAATCCTACTAAATACATTTGTTACCATACCACTGAACTATTTGAACTTTGTTTTACAAAAATAACACCGACAATATATTTTATTAGTACCTATTCTGAAAACGTCGATTTAATAAAATATTTCTACTTTGGAGCAGCTCAATCATACGTTCACGTCGTTCTTCTTCATCCATTGTACTATGTTATATAACTCAGGAAAATGTAATAAAATATTGTTAAATTACTTGGAACAATTTATTGTATACAGCGTACTTTGATAACAATAGATCTATAAACACCCTCCGTATTAATTAATAATAGTTTGGAACAGTCACTATACGTACAAGGAAACAAATAAATGATTAGTGAAATAACCATGTCCACATTATTACACAAACATCATTCAAATAAGGAAATGATTATCACATTAAACACATACGCCATCACACACACAAAATTCAATAAAGATTATCATTTTTAATTATAATTTTGACATACACACATACTTGCGTCCATCAGGTATATAAGGGACCTGGAAAAAAGGGCAAATCAGATGAGTTTTTGATATGCGACATTGAGCATCTTCATGCTAGTGTATGTTATAATTTGGATTAGAATCTCAACAGTTTATTTAATTATTAGAACTTAGAATATTTCACCACAGTTTAAATAAATCATATAACCACAACTAGTAGTAATTATTTTACAACATCCATCTACATTCAAGCGTTGAACAGACTAAGCGAATAATTGAAATACGATCAATCGGTTGGCACGCAACAAATTTTATATAATAAAGGATACATGGCCATAGATGTAGAAAGTCCTCTTAGTTTATGTAACAACTGTTGAACTTCATCAGCATACTGTTTAAGTCTAAGCCGAATTTGGGATGAGTATAAAATATATTTTTCAGAAGACTTATGTTCCAAATCTCTTACATTTAACAATCCTTCAATTTCTCTGTATAATTTTTCACATGATTCATGTTCGATCATCCTAAAAAAAAACCAAATTAATTAAATTTCCAGAATTAATTTAAGTTCTATTGATACAAATACTAACTAGATAAATAATAAGGTTATATTAAACGATTCATATACATGTATAAAAGGCTTTATATTTTTATTATTACACATAGATAGATATATCTTCATAAACATAATCAACTGTCCATGATTATCACGAGGGAAATAGAATAAGATAAGGGTAAAAGAAAATGACTAATATAAATTTCTCTATTTTTCACTTAAATAAACATAAAAACTTGACAATTAATAGTTATTCCGAAAACTATATAAGACAACATAATAAAAGAATAATTTTATTTATAATTGTCGAAAAAATTAATATTAATAACCTATATATGAATAGTTGAAGTTATACCAGAAACAAGAACATTTCAAAACGACAGTTCATACGTGCAAACTATTAATAATAGAAGATAAGTATAGTACAAATTAAGCTTCAATGTGATTTATAAAGAAATAGGGTTTTCTAAATATAATTGTGCTCATTAATATTATATGTAAATTTTCATCTAACAAAATCATTTATTTTCACGATTTAGTTTTCATTACAAGGAATGCTAACATTTCATTTTTCCATATATTCTTTATTACAGAATAACAATTGTTCAGCCTCTAAGGCAGTGCTCGAATTGGGAAAAATTAAGTAGAGGAGCTCAGTTCAACGATTTGAAAACTGCGTTCTACGTGCGCAATTATTTAACACATATCCGTGGGGGCTTCGCTCCCCCTCCACCAACCTTACATATATTTTGAATACCACTTTTCAGCTAAATAAATATTTTAATTCCAAATATAATATATTTTGATAGCAATACCAACATCCTACAAGTTACAATAGAAAATAAAAATAAAATAATAATTAACATAATTTTAGGCGATTAGGCAGTTTCATGAATCGGATGATATAATCATATATTTGGTTTTTGTTTTTATCTATTTTTACTCTTTAATGCGGGCCACAGCCGAAGATTAATCGTGGTGCGGGCATTCATTTTTTTCCGAAATGCCGATATCATCGATCGCCAATATCAATAACTGCGCAATGAATAAAGTATAATACACCAAATTCACAGACATTGCTATTTATATTTTTCTAGAAATAACGTTGTCCCTTATCATTACCACCATATAATCTTTAATTATGAAAATAATTTTGATAATATAAATCGTAAAATTCGTTTTCAAATTGACGTAAATTGAAATTGACATAAAAATTATTTTGGACATCAATTAGGATGAACGTGGCGTCACCCCGTTCCGGTGAAAAAATATAGTTGGGGTACACAAAAAAAAAAAAAAATAGTAGAGCTCCGTCACCTTGCGCACCACCCCCCCCCCCACTTCGAGCACTGCTCTAAGGTGAGTACGAAAATATAATCATGAAATATCAATATGGACATACAAATTTGGACGACCATATGCAAATTAATTCCGCTGTAGATCTTAGACCACTGCGTATTTAATTAGGCCATAGTGCCATGATGACTGAGAACTAAATCAATCGATTTTTAACGTTGGATAAAAATGATCATCTTACCAAGGATCATTATCACCGTTAGCGATGTTTATGAGCGCCATGATGTCGTGTAGCTCGATCGTATAGTCTTAGGCAATAATCATTATGTTCCCACCGACGATACGTTGGATAGTTCACGGAACGACGGACAATAATAATCTGGCCGTCGAACGTACACGCCGCAACGGTAAAAACAATAACAACGTTGTTACGATTTCATTGCATAATCTTGAAACGACACGGTCATGGGGTATGATAACGACTGGATGAGCGAATCATAGATAAGATGCGTTATCACCGTTGATAAGAAGCGACTGTTATGTTCCATGGTCGTCATCTGTTGCCTCCCGCTCTGCCGGTACCCCTGTCGCACCTCCTCGCTATCACCCACCGCGGGCCTTCGATCAATTGTGTGCGTGCGCGCGTGTGGTGCGATCGTGTTTTTGGTTTTTTTTATATATTTTTTCTCCTCTCCTTCCGCCACGTTCGTCGTCGTCTTCACCCGTCGCCCTCGTCAGTTCTGCTCAGACCGATCGTTCCGATCGTTCTGCGTACGTGTGACACTCTGACGGCGCCGCGCATTGTACCGTATCCGTGCTCCGTTTTGGCGTACATTCACTTTTTGCGTCGTCCGTGACGTGCCACTCACCGAGTTAGAGTTAACGGACGTGTCGCCTCGCGTCCAAGCCACGTTTTCGCGGGTCATGTGAATGCCGGACATCCGACAGGAAATCGACCAAGCGAACATCGCCGAACAATATGTCAGTTTTGCCGCGTGCACTCGCCGCAACAACCACTAATAACGCCTTGGCCGCTCTTCGTCCCGACGGACGCTAAACGGAGTAATAACAACGATTACCTCTGCTCTGCCTGTCGACTTCATCTCGCCATCACCTTTGCGCTGTCACTAGCCGAATAGGTGAGATATTCAAGTCCACTGTCACTATCGACTCAAAACTTAATCGGCCACAGCAGGTCCCCGATGGACCACTCATTTAACCGACTGCTGTGTCTTTGTCCATCTGACCCCATGATTTATCAACCTACACTTTTGATATGTTCCACCCGCCTTATCTGTTACTAACTATCATCATAGCGATATCTCCTTAATCGTCTGCTTATTAACTATAACACTATTTAAAACTCATATGTGTATCAAGTTGTTTATCAATGATTTAATTATGGTCTTGTCTATTTATTATGCAAGTAGGTTTTTAAATAATCAATCTCTTGAAGCAACGTGTACTATTGGTGTTTAAAATAAAATATCTTCTGTTTTCAATCAAAACAAAGTGTTCCATACACCTACACTTGTTAATAAATATAAGATTTTAATTAGTGTAACTTTAACCATTAAAATGTCCCATTTGCCTCTTTTTCCTTAACATTTTAATAATTTTTAATTTATTATATTTTTAAGCAAGTTGATATTTACTTAAAAGAACATAATCATCTGTAATTTATAATATTTTCCTATAATATAGATATTTTCTATTTGAATTTCATAAACTAATTGCATATAACACTTACTCGGGCTTTTACAACTTTACTTAATTTTATATGTAATTATATTCTTATGTTAAGTACTATTTTCAAATTGTATAAAATAATAAAGGTAATTAAATCTTAAATCATGTAAAATAAAAATTAATTTCAAGTTGTCTTTACTACTAATTACAAAACTATTCATCATTCCCATAAGTGAATTTAACTAATTCTGCAAATTATGCTAGAAATTATGTTATGTAATATACTATTGATCTGTTGATAATTTTGCAGTTACATAAAGTATTTAAATTAATTGTATGTTCAGAAATAAATGCAACCTGATAATGAAAATAGAAACCAATTTTTGAATTTACCTTCTAACATTTTTTTACGAATCATTTAAAAAATTTGAAAATATAAGTTTGTCTTTTAATTTACACATATGGTGTTAGTTATAGTGTTATAAATATGTACTTCATTTTAAACAATATGAGGATATCAAAACAATTTAAATTGATTAAATAATTTTTTAATAATTTTGTCCTTAATGATAAATAATTAATAAGTTAATTGAATAAAATATGTTTGTGTTATTATCAATTTTTTTTAAATTGATATTATTTGCTTATCACTAAAGTCACAATACTTTTATGACCTATTTTTAGGTGGTTAAATCTGTATATTATAAGTTTGAAAGTATATGAGTAAATTTATTGAAATCTTGGTCTAAATTAATTTCTTCACTATGATTTAATAATAGTACCTATTTAAAAAATACATTGAAAATAAATAAATGAATTAAAATACCTTTTATTGATGCGTTAATAATTTTTATACGTAAAAAATGTCTAAATTACTTTTTGTTAGTAAGAGTTCAGGTAATATTTTTATATGTATTTATTTTGAGTTAGTCTATTCCTAATGAGGCCTAGATATTTAATATTAATGCTGAGAGAAACATAATGGTTGTTTATAGTTTATAGTGCATTTGTTTATCTGGTTTTTATTAAGTATACAATTTCAGTGTTCTTTAGTAGTAGTTGTATATTTGGTATAACTAAAGTTATAGGACAGTATTAGTATATTTTGAGTAGTATATCTTCTTATAGATGAGCTTGATTACCAAGATGATTACTGAAAATGAATTTAAAAATTATATATAATATAAATAATTGCATTATTTAAATACTCAAAAAAAAAAAAAAACTATATTTTGGAATAATGTAGTAAAATCTTAAAAATATTTGATTAAAAAGTATTAAAACTATATTCTTATAGGTATAACATACAATTTCACCAAACTTAGATTTATGTTGAATTTTTTTATTTATTTATTTATACAATTAAAAAGGACACTTCCTTTGTTACTAATGTAGGTACTTCACTATTATTATATCTTTTTTTGATACAAGTCATTGATTCAATTTTTATAATTTTTAAATATTTATCTATTAAAGTTTTTACTCTAATTTTGAGACTTTCCTTTTTATTGATCAAATAGTAATTTTAAGATATGATTTCTTTTTAAAAATATCTGAACTTAATTTCCTTAGTTATAATTTTATAATAAATTATTTTAATTTTATGCCTAATGAGTCTAAAAAAAATACATTGTACAATTATAAATATTAAAGGCTTAATATATAAACAGTTTTTTCAAGGTTTTTTTTTAAACAAAATAATGGACCAAACCATCTTCTCATAATTAATTTTCCTACCATTTCTATTAATTGCCAAATCCTTAAAGTTTACTCCTAATTCTTCTACATTCCTCTTAACTATACCCTCCCATCTTAATTTTGGTCTTCCCAAGAGTATTTTTCTTACTGGATTCTGTTCCAATACTGCTCTTAATACAAAATTCTTACTCTTCATTGCATACTCTGCTCAGCACAGTCTTCCATTCTTGATATTGTTTTCGTTATACATATTTTGTGATTCTGTTTTTTCTTCTCCTCTACTCACCTATATTATTATCTTTTATTGGTTCAAACATTTTCCCCAATATTTTTCTTTCTAGTATCAGGAATTAATTTTCATCTGGTTTCTTTAGTGTCCAGGTTTCTGACCCATACAATACCACTATTAATATTAGGATGGTATACAATCGTCAATTTCTCTTGTTAGTGACCTTGTACTTCATAGTTTCACAAGTTCATAATACACCTTTTTTCTTACTTGGATTCTCATGACTACTTCTTTAGTTATATGATTTTTTTCACTTACAGTTGTGCCAAGATAGAATAGATTATCTTTCTTAAAACTAAAATGATCCACTTCTATTGTGCAATCCACCCAATCTTGTCTTCCTATAATAATATATTTTTAAGAGCCGTTTTACCCCTTGAGATTTATCCATCAATATTACATCATCTTCTTATGACAATAGAGAAATAGCTGAGTTCTGGTGTTTTATTCCTTCATGAAGATCAATTTTCATATCTTATTTTTTCCAAAAACAGTTTAATAATATGGAACTACCCTGTCAAATTTTATTGTACCAGGATTTGACTTCATGCTTCAGACTTTCATTTTAACCATGGTTTTCATAATGTATTGATTATTTATATGTTATCTGAACTCTCAAATCATAAGAGCAAAGTAGTTCAAAATTATTGTTATATTGCCAACATAAAAATAATTAAAAATATTATCAGTGTCAGCTTTTTCTATATAGTTAATGGAAAACTAAAACTTGATTTAATTATTTTTCCCTATTCTTTTGAAACATTGCATCATAAGAATATATTTTCAAGGATTGTTTTATTAAATTTATTAATCTTGTAAACCTGAGAGTTAAAATAATGCCCTGCTTAAAAAGTGAAGTAATATAAATATCTTGTAATGTTATAAATATTCTTTTTTATCGCATTAATGATTTTATAAATGTATCAAATTCTATCAGTTGTTTTTTCAAATATATTTTAGGTTAAAACTATTGTGAGATCATTTTTAGTAACTTGTTAACAATTTTAGGAACAAGGGAAAAGTTTTTAGGATATAATAATTATTTTCAAAAAATGATGTTATGTGATTTATGCTTAGATTTATGTAAATATTATAATTACTTATAGACATAAGTACCTATTTGTCTTAATCAATTTTATATATATTATTCTAAATCATATTTATTTTAGTTAAAAATGGCATCCAGTAATAACACAGAGACAACAACTGATACTGTAGAAATTATCACTCAGTGGGTTGCTCAAGCCCAATCAAATCCAATATTTTTACAAACAACTGCTGCCCAAGTAATTGCTGGATTATTTGTTTGGACAGCCGTGTTTGTTACATGTCAACAGGTAAAATATATTTATTTTAATTTTATTGATAAAAGTCAATCATTATAAAATATGCATTGTTTCTGTTTATAATCGTTTAATATTATACAAATAAAATATACAAGTAATTTATGAAAAACTTAATTACTAAACTAAATATAACCTAAGAAAATCAATTATTTTATACTGATTTGAGTTATTTAACTATAATTAAATCAAGGTATAAAAAAATTTAAATTGTTATTAAAACAAAATCAATAGAATATTCTAAAAAATAATGTTTCAACCAGAAATTCTCAATTAATTTAGTCTTTAATATTTTATTATAAATCAAATACACCTTCTACGAGTTCTCAAAATTATGAATGGCCTATTTTTGTATACGATCCAGTAAAATAACCATTGATCCAAAATAAGCAGTTTAACAGACATATTATATAAATTTCTCTTTATGTAAATTATACTTTTCTTTAAACCTCTTCATAAACAAATTCATAATTTTTATTTTAATAAATACATTTTTCTTAAATTTTAATATATTATAAAAATATTTCAAGAAAGAGAAAAATGAAGTTATGTACTTATTTAATTTACTATCATAGTTATGATAATATAATTATGTATACAACAAATATTATTGATTAATAACAAGCTATTAGTTATTACATTGTTGGGTTACTACATATTTAAAGCAATTATTTCATTACTAAATTAATTTTTTCTTAACTTCTATATAGTTATTTATTTGAATAATAATATTTTTCTAGTTTCAATATAATAATATCCTACCCTTATGAAAACACTAATCAGTTAAGTATAACAATATTTTTAAACATTTAACTTATTTACTAAACTGTATTGTGCCATCATTTAAAATTATTATAACATTATTTCTTAGAGTTCCATTAGTTCAATATTATAAAATTTAATTGATATTTATAAATTTCAAAACATACCTTTTAAGCATTATTGTTTCCTGTTTATAAAATAAGAGGATTAGAAATTCTTATTTTTTTTATTTTATAGGAAAATAGTTTTGAAGAAATCAAAGTACATATCACAATAGAGGAAAAAAATTTGTTGTTGACAATTTATACTTAACCAAGTTTTCACAATCATATTTTGTAATATTTATAATTAAATTAAATTTTCTAATCATTCTTACATAATATTTTATCCTACAAAAATAAATTAATACATTTTTATTTTCCACAATTATATTATAGTGATTGATGTTTTCAAAAATATTATAAAAGAAACATTAAATTTCATAAATACATTTTTTTTTTATTAACATGTCCAACATTAAATTAAGTTATTATAATCAACACCTTAACAGTATTTAAAAGTATATAATAACCTGTAGGTAATAAGTAATCATAATGATAGTGTATCTAATCATAGTAATGATTCAAGGTTTTGAGTAATAACTGCCAAGGTGAACTGTGGCTCAGGATCCTTTTTCTTCATGATATTCTAAGCAAAATACTATTATGTTTTTATTAATATAAAACCACATAGTATAATATTTTTGTCTGAATAGTATTTATTTATTTTTTGCTTTTGTAGCTATACTTACCTTAAGTAATGTCATTTACTGTAGATAAATATCAATTGAGTTAAAAAAAAATTGAAAAAAACAAATTGTATTCAACCTAGTACAGTTACCTACTCTACAGACTAGACATTACTACTGCTTGCATTCTAGAATTAGTTCTGGGAAATAAAACGAAAAGTACAGTTACTTTTTACTACAAATATATAGCGTTAAAGAATAATAAATATAGTTTGAACATATTAAAAAAATATACTTATAATAAATGGCTTTATTACATTTTATTATTTATTATTTTAATTTCCATTTAAAACAAATTCAAGAATATTGAATTAAAAAATTGAGTGTTAAAAATTCATCTTGAGCTTGTTTTTGTGAATTTCTTGACTTTTTACTATAATCTCTAAAAGTGAATTTTGCAATTTCATAGAAAAGAAAATGATGTTGCTGTATAAAATTAATTAATCAGTTTCATTAAAAAAAGCTATGCATTTTTATATTAGGACTGTTATCTTACTTTTAAGTTCTTTATTTAAAAATTACTTTTTTCATTGTTTTTACTTTAAGCAAGTACGAAATTAAATTCTAGGTTAAATAATTGTGTTAATACAATTTAAATTTATTTTTATTTTTAGTATTTCTACAACTAAAACAAATAATAATGTTTTTACAGTTGTTTTTTTTCAATTACGAGTAGGTGTTTATTATTTTTTTTTTCATTATTCATCTTCTGGAGAAAGTATTATATTTTACCTAGCATTGTGAGTATCATTTAGATACACAATATTATATGTTATTAAATGTTGAGTACTTTAAACTTCATGGAAAAAAAAAACTTAAAATAGTTTAAAACAAAAGATTTGTCTACTCTATTATTAGACTAATTATGCACTATTATTGAATTAAAGTTTTGTTTTTTCTGTATTTTCATGATACAAAAATTGTATGTTTATCTCTTTTTTCAGTTTTTATTCATAAGAAAATAAAATAAGTTTTTAAAATGTACTTATTATCTAATTATTTCTAACACAGTTTATTTAGTTCTCCTGAGTACTTTTATAAAATAAAATATATAAATACATTTCATTTTATGTATGTCAATAAAAAAAAGTTTAATTAATTAATATTTATGTGACTGAAAATTTGCTAAACGAAACATAAAAATATAATAGATCACTAAGAGACCAATGAACTTCATGATTAACCATAATAAAATTCCAATTATCAAGTACTATAGTCTGTATTATAATAAATATTTATAAAACTTAAACTTGTAAATTACCCTTATGTTACAAATTATATTCTACATACACTACATTATATCGCTATGTTAAAAAAAATATATAAATAGAATAATTAACACCAGAGAATAGGGGTCACTAAAAAAAAAATTCGCATTGAGTTCGAGTTTAATTAAATATACCTGTATAAAAATTATAAATGTGTTTCTCTCTGAAAATTAAAAAGTATGTTCTCATTTTTAATTTTAATATGCACAACTCTTAATAAAAACTTAAAAATACTATTAAAACGTATGTATCATATTTCTTAAGAAACCATAAATAAATCAACCTTTTCAGAATTTATAAGACGACATAGAAGAGCTGATCTGGTACTTGTTAGAATTTTATATCACATTTCGTTTATTATGCTTAGTGTCCCACTCGAAAAGTCCCACTCGACAGTTACGACTTTCTGATTACGTCAATAAGTAATTAACTGCGTTCCGCAAGGGAAGATTTTGAATTATTACTGCTTTGTACGTATACACAAATCGAGACGATGTATATTCGTAAATACTCAGTAATTGAACCTATCAATATTTATTTTTATTATGTTTCGTAGACTTAATTAGATGTACCCGTACTGACCGTGTATTTTTAATTATATACTAATGCACTATGAAGTATGTTTTATGGAAATATATTTCTAAATACTTTCATATAGATACAATACATAGAGTGATAACCGAGGTGATTACATTCTAGCGTTATACATGTAATTAGACGTGGATACCATTCTCGTTTCACACGATTTCATTAGTATTTACTATACATAAATCATATGCTTGTATAAAGACGTATTCTAAACGATGCAATATTATCATGACTTAGAAAGTTTGAATTTTTTGCGATGCATATGATTATTAACGATTGTTTTTACTGAAATTCGCTTTGTTATCGTGATCATTGGATCGTAACATTTGAAATTTACTTGTGTATCAAACTATTGTCCATAATTAAACATTATTTTTAATTTACAGATATATCATCACCTCCAATGGAATACGAATCCGGCCGAACAACGATGGATCATCCGAATATTGTTTATTGTACCCATTTACGCACTTCATTCGTGGGTCAGTTTGTTGTTCTTTAACAACGAACACTACTACGTGTATTTCTTTACAATTAGAGATTGCTATGAAGGTATATAAACTACTATTCAACAAACAAAAAAAAATAACATACACCGACCTGTTAGTAACACAAATTATATTTTATTTTTTATTTTTTCAAATAGCTTTTGTGATTTACAATTTCATGAGTCTATGCTACGAATATTTGGGTGGTGAAGGTAATATAATGAGTGAAATCCGTGGGAAACCCATTCAGTAAGTGGCAAACTTATGCAAAATAACGTCTTATAACTTTGTAAACATTCTACAATGTACATGTTATGCTAGCGTAGTATTTGTGGGTAGATTTCAACAGTTTCAATACTTATATTTAAGCAATCATTTGCATAATTTATATTTTACAATTGTATTCGTCGTTTTTATTAGGTCTAGCTGGCAATATGGAACTTGTTGTTTAACAGGACGTACTTACACAATTGGATTCTTACGTTTTTGCAAGCAAGCAACTTTGCAGTTTTGTTTGGTAAAACCGTCAATGGCTTTTGTTATTATTTTCCTACAGTATTTTGGACACTATCATGATGGTGATTGGAGGTAATATTGCGATTAATCCAATGTATTATACTTAATATGTGTCTGAATTTGTTTAACTTAAAACTATTTTTACAGCATGAATGGAGGGTATTTATATGTAACAGCCATCTACAATTTATCAGTCAGCTTAGCCCTTTATGGACTGTTTTTATTCTATTTCGCTACTAGAGATCTCCTTATACCTTATGAGCCTGTTCTAAAATTTTGCACCATAAAAAGTGTAATTTTCCTATCATTCTGGCAAGGTAAAATAAAATTCTCCTGAGTATTAAGTATTTAATTTTTAACTGGTGGAATTTTTGAAGGTGTATTACTGGCAGTTTTAGAAAAAGCAAAATTCATTGATCCTGTCATCGATGCTAGTGGTCAACCCACAAGTGCTGGTACAGTGTCTGCTGGATACCAAAACTTTTTAATCTGTATTGAAATGTTATTTGCTTCATTGGCACTTAGAGCTGCCTTTCCGTATGAGATTTATGCTAATAACGCACAAACAGGAACAGGACATCCCACTAGTTCGCGTACTGTTACCATGCAAAGTATTTCCAGTAGTTTAAAGGTATATTTAAAAATTAAATTATACTCATGAACTATACTGATGTGTGTATATGTAAGACTCAATAATTGTATGTGACTCTTATTATATTGGTTTCTATGTTTTAGGAAACAATGAATCCCAAAGATATAATGACAGATGCCATACATAATTTTCATCCACAATATCAACAATATACACAATATAGTTCAGGTAAGAAATTTAATCATTACATTGCATATGTATGTATTTAATTTTATTTATTACATATCTCTTACTAATAATTATTATTTTAAAATTAGTTAATTTCTGTTTTGATTCTGCTTGTCAGCATGTTTTTTGTTAAAATTGTTGTACGCTTTATAAATAAAAATATTCTTATATTTATATTGAAAAGTACCTATTTTCTAGCACATTTGAATATTTTATAATGCCAAAAGCTTTTAGCCAAGTGGGTATGTCTACAAAAGTTTTCGTATAGGGTATTTTAGTTTTTGTTTATAGTTATTAAATTTTTAATTTCACATATACATAATGGAACATTTTAATTTAGAGTGAGTGGAGGAGGGTTAGAGGTCTAAGGTTTTAAACAGCTGTTTAAACCGTGCAAAAGTATATTTTTATAATATTTCAGATTTTATTTCATTTTGGAAATACTAAATTAAATATCCATGTTATGTATTATAACATACACATTTAGAATATTACTATAATTTTTAATATATTTATAACTTCTAAAATAATACAAAATTTTAATCAGCCATATAATAATATAAACAACATATTATACATACATTAACTTAAGAGAAAATAATCATATTCTGTTTTATAGTGAGTGCATTAACTATTGTTTTTAATAGTATTTATTGGGGTAGATGTTATGAATTTAAAATGTACATAACTTACAAAGTTAGTTTTATTTTTATTTACAGACGTTGGTTCCTCTCGGCCTTATGAAAAGTTATAAGCATGGACAGTTGTTTTAGTTGTATTCTGCTCTCTTTATTTTATTTTTAACCATTAGTAACCATTTTTATTTTTTAGCTATCATTATTTAATTTTTTTATTTTTATTTTTAGATATTTTTCATTATCATGTTTAAATGTTTTTATATATATAGGTATATATATATATATATTGGTATAATATATTACTTATTATTTATTAAAAAAAAATATATATATATATATATTAAATATTACTTTTTTGTAATACAAAACTATAAAATCACTTAATTTTTCATAATTGGGTTGTTGCAATATTATTTTGTTAAACATACTATGTTCAAATATTTTTATTTTATTTTTTTTGTTATTAAGTAATTACTCTAATTTGAATATTTTCCTTGTTTGTGTCATTTTTTTCTACTTACTATATTGTTAATTATATCATCAATATATATTTTCAATAAATAAGTAGGTAATTTTCCCCTTGTTCTTACTAGTCAACATTTTATTCAAAATAGTAAGTACATTGTCTTGTTTTGTAATATACTAACAAAAACTTGTTAACAAATAATTTTATATGCATAAATTATTTATAAGGCATTAATATATAAGCCTGTGATCTGTATTTAAAAAAAAACTAGTAGTTAATTCTTAAACTATAATAATATTATACCTATTTAAAGTATTTACTTATCAGTTTTTTTTTTTTTTTTTATAATATACTAATGTAATCAATAGGTATTTATTTATATTAAATTAGTTTTATGTGACTTAAGTTGTTTATAATATGATAAGTTTTATTTTAAGTTGAGCACTTTTTTATTACATATAATAATAAGTGTTTGGGGAACGATCCTCGCAATTTGTATTTTATTTTTTATTAAATGTAAAATTTGATTAAACACTGGAATTTCTAATTACATTTTATACTTCACCTTACAGTATGCAAAAGAAGTTCGATTAAATACTCTATGTTAAAAATGTATTAATAAGTTTTTTGATAAGTTCTGCCCATTTTGTTTTTTGTCAGTTTGCTCCATCCTAAAAAAAAATCCTGGTTTGTATATAGTGTGTAGACTGACGACTAAATGTCTAAATTCATTATGATATGTTAGGTAGACACAATCAGGTTTGTTGATATAAATTTAGATTTACTTTTTACTTTTAAAACAAAAATTCCTCATCACTGTTTCAATTATTACAGGTGGCCAAAAAAATTATGGATCCAAAAGCAGTGGAGTTAATGACAACAATGGAAGATCAAAGACAGCAAAAAAATCAACTCCAGTGTATAATGAAAAGGCAATGCTGCTGAGCTCTGATGAAGAATTACCTTGAATTACCATAATCTAACATTAATGTATACGTATAATATTCTTTTTGGTTTTATTTCATTGCTTTAAACTCGTGTATAACCGATATTCTGAAATGCCATATAGCCTGTAACAATTGTGCAATTTTCTAGTCTAATACCAATCGCAGTGCAATATTTTTGAACCTAAATTTTTGTTTCTTGTTTTTGTTACTCTATTTTTAACATAAATTTGCAGTATTTAAGCTTAAAAGATGATCAACTATGACTAAATATATGCACATCTTGTCCTTAATTATTTTTGTTTTTTCAGTTATGATAAAGTTTTTTTATGATTTTTTTTTTTTTTTAATATAATTTAAATTAACTCATGCCGTATCATTCTTTCATAGAAAGACTTAATCTTATACTTCCATAAAATAATCTTCTGTGATCACTGTGTGACAGTATGATTTCATAATTCTAGTCGTTTTAACATATTACTATTATTTTGTTTTTATTTTATAAAAATCACTTATAGACTGTAATATTGTATGTTTCTAGTTGTCTTAAAAACAAATTAATATTATTAAAAATATGTTTACTATTCATATTTAATTATTATATTATGTATTAATATCTAAAGTTAAGATTGACTTATATAAAAATCCTATTCAAAATACTTTAAGGTATAAATATTATTGTTCTATGCATACTAATGCAATGTGATTCAACTGAGTATTAGAAATAGATATTGAGATTCATTTCATCTTAATTCACAATTATTAGTATAACAATATGAACATATTATGCCATCACAACTGTTTATGTTATATTCATATTTAAAGTATATATAAAATTTTATTATTATTAATAATATAAATATATAATAATTTTAATATAATGAGTGTTTAACATTTATTTTTATTTTTTGTAATATAAAAAAAATAAATATAATATGTACTTTTGTACCTAGTACACAAAATATTAATACACTGTTGATATTTTGAAACAAAAGTACTTTAATTTACATTTATGAACTGCATACTATTAAAATCATTGATTTTACCGATTATATGATATTGAATAATATTTATGTATTACTGAAGACTTTTCATTTGAAATATACAATGTACAACAATAATGATTCAATCAATATTTATTTACAATTATTTTATACTTAAAAATAATACTCTCTACAATAATAAATGTATTAGGCTATTGTAGTTTTTAGCATAAGTGAACTGATATTATTGATTACATTTATGAGAAATTAAATATACATTTTATTCTCTTGTAAAATAAACATTTTGGACTACATTTATAGTCGTATGTCTTCTTCAAGACTTTAAAAATATAGTTTATTAACTCCTTGTTTTGAATTCAACTGTTTCTAATGAAATTGTGACAACAGATTCTATAGTTTTTAATGGAATAAACATATCAATGTTTTACAATAACTGTCATTCAAGAGCCACAATTTTTTATCTACTGATTTAATAAAAGTATAATAAAACAATCTGCCACAACTGTCATCATGGTTATACTTAACATATTAACATGACCATGGGCATCCTCAGGGGGGTGGGAGGGTAAGACGGGGCAATTACACCCTCCCTAGAATTTTAAATTAGTTTTCCAAAGCATTATCTGTAACGCGACAATTTAATAAACATAGATTAATATAACATATATATATATAGAAGGAAACTATCTTTAATAATAATTGGATTATTTTAGTTTTTTTTTATTTAAATTGGTCCAATAATCAGTCCTGCCAGTGGCTTAGCTACACATTTTTTTCTGGGTAGGCCCAATATTCTTATGAAAAAGGTTACCAAATACCAATGAATATATTTTATGTTATGAGTAACATATTGTTAGGTATTAAATAAAAATAAACAGAATATCACATTATTTATGTATTGAATACTTTGAATTCAACAAAATAATGTTGATTAAAATGTAATTTAATGATAAAATAAAAATGTTTCTTTAAAAACTTATAATATAAAATCTGAATACTGGGACTACCAAAACATATTCAATTATTTTTTTTTATTCTTCAAATTCAATTTTAAATTTTTTTACTTCTTGGTATAATTCAAAAAGAACAGATCCAAAAGAAAATAAGGTTTTACTTAAATGACATTGAAATATTAATTTGGTAATAAATGCATTAGATCAATAAGTTGGAAATGTTTCAGCATACCTAATGTCAAATTATTTTATCATCTAAAAGTTTTGTTCTAAAGCTTCTGAAATAGTGTATATATTATCATTTTTATTAAAACGCATGTTTATTTTAGAACATATTACGTCTAAAATGTTATAAAATATTCTTCAGATCAATAAACTTTTTTTTACCAGTAGGAAGTTAAGTAGTTACTTACATTTTTTCATGATCTATTTGACGATGAAAAATTCTTGCTTGACAACGTATGAATTAAATTTGTCACTGACATCCAGTGTCTTATTTTAATATGTGTATAAGTACCAAAGAAATAATGTAATCGCAGTCATAGTTATTCCACAGACTAAATGAAAATAATTATTTATAGCCTATGGGTCTTTCTTCAAAATATTTGACAACTTTTTAGATCAATATTGTAGTGTTCACTTTATTGTAGACTCGTTATAATTACACAGCTTACGCTATTCGAATGCAATTACCGCACAAATGAAGAACGTTGTGCGCGCGCATGATTATTGCGATTGTTTTCTTCTTACTTTCGTGCGCGTGTACTTTGACGAGTAACCATAGGCGGATCTACGGAGTGTGTCTTGACACACCCTAATGTGAATAAAAAAATTAAATAATAACAATATGCATACACATTAATTAAATTTTAGTTATTTTAAGTAATACTGCAAGTGTTCAGAATAAGTCTGAAATAATAATTACCTAGATGTATTTTTTACCAATTATTTTATATTATTAACGAAGCTTTTATTTTTAGAATTTAAATCATTTCATGGTCTACACGTACTTATTTATTGTTATTGTTAAATTATATTCAATGTTAGGCCGTATCTAGAAATTTTTTTCGGGAGGGGTCCAAAACATGTATATTGTAATTTTATTGAATTTAGATTTTAAATTTTGATATTTGGTTAAAAATTAGACAGAAAAAGATTTAATCTTTGTTTATTAAAATTAAAAGCAGTCAATGATTAATTGGAGCTTAAGTTATTTTTGACTGAAAATATTTATGTTGGTATTAAAAATAAATAAGTATTTTAAACATTCGTAAAATATTGAAGAAATTTCGAGAGGGTTCCGTACCCCTCTCCCTAAATAAGGCCTTGTAGGCCGGATTCACATTAGCGAGCAACTGGAAAGGGCGTATTTAATAGGAGGCGAAGGGGATATTCACCCCCCCCCATTGCTTGTATTTTTTTTGAATATAATACACTGATTTATTTAAAAAATGTAATGTAGGTATAAATAATTAAGAATATAAATTACTAGTTTATCATTACAATATGATAATAAATTCAATAATGTCAATTTGATCACGAGTATTAATTTTTGTTTATCTTCATAACATTTTTGGTTATGGAACGAATAGTGGTATCTTCCACAGATATTGCTACGGTTATAGACATTTACAACTATAACCGAGGTATTTATCAAATAATATAAAGTAATTTAAAGCAACACTTTTTTTACCACATATTTACTAGTTAGTAATTTTATGATGCATTTATGTATATTGTATATTTATTTATTTATTAGAGCTATATATATATAAGGACTTATAAGTCCTGAATAATTTTATTCACCTATTTTCTTTTTACAACATAATATCTGGTACTTTGTTGTTATGCATAAGTTAGTCATTTTTTTGTGCACAAATGCATGCATATTTGTATATTTTATAGCTAGAAGTCCCTAACCCAAATAATAATCATAATAACTGACAATATTTGTTTCCCTATTCTTGAACTTGCAAAAATCTTCTATAAAGATCTTTACACCCATATTAAAAAAGTTTTAAAAAAAAGCAAGCATGGTAAGAAAAACATTACTTTAATTTTTATTATATTTATATTAGTTTTAATAGTTATAATTATAACTTTAGTTTTAACATTTTTTATTAGTTTTAATTTTACAGTTTTTAATAATAATATTTTTACTAACATTAATTATTATTTCAAGTGGTACATTTGTTCTGAAAATGTTTACCATTTTGGAATGTAATACATTATGTCGAATGTATTTGTTGTGTTGTGCTTTTGACTCGGTAGGTACACATAAAAAAGCCGTTAACAAGTAAACAAGGGAATTCTAAGATTTATGTTGTTTGTCGAGGTTTTAAGGGATTGCAATGTGTAGAATCTTTGATACATAAATTTTTCTGAACTTCTAATCGCAATTTAAGTGTTGAAGAATACCACAAAGTGTCAGTATTTATACCCTACCTGGACTTTTTTATACAACAACTAGGAGAAAGATTTTCAATCCATTCTGAAATTTTTAAAGGTACCTATATTAAATTAAATCATTATTATCATTTTTAATTCAATTGGTACCTAGTTTTTATAAAATTAAAAACAAATCACTGAAATAAAATATTCATATAATCAATCTATATTATCAAATTCAACCTTTAATGGTTTATGTATAATGTATATATATCATATTTTATAGGATTTCAAAGTCTGTTTTCCTATACATTAACTTCTAATGAGGAGGTATCATTTAGAAAATTACTTTAATTTTATTCACCTTCTTTGGATGTGAACAACTCAATTGCAGAATTGAAATTGTGGAAAATAAAACTTGAGCGAATAAACAATATTCCGAAAACTGCAATTGAAGCATTACATGTGTGTAATGCCAATATTCATCCAAATGTGCATTTTATTTTAAAAATACTATGCATACTTTCTGTTTTTACAGGTACGCATGAAAGAATGTGTTCCAGTCTTTATAAGGATAAAAACGTATCTTCGATACAGTATGTCCGAGGTTAGTAATTATAATAACTGTGCACTAGTGCTTAATAAAATACATTTTCATAATATCTAATGAGAAAAATGTTTTAATTTTTTTTGTAGAAAAGACTTAATGGTCTGGCAATGTTGGCAATTCATAATGATATTACATTTTCAAATGAAGAGGTCATTAAAGAACTTGCCAAAAAGCCTAGGAATCTAGACAAAATATTGTAAAATATTAAAACATTTTAAAACATATTTGTAAATATATAATGTTATGTAATATAGAATGATTATATTTACATGTGTTGAGTTATAAAATTATACAAAATATAAATAAGGGATGTGTGGGCCGTGGGGGCAAAGGCCCCCCCACAAGTTTACCAGACAAATTTATTTTGACCCCCCCCCCCCCCATCAAACATTCTCAGTTACGCCACTGAATACGTATAAAGTACTTATATTTTTAACAAGATTATATCTTGAAAACTTAATTGACCGTGATATAATTAAACAAATTGATTTCAAAAAAATAAATTTTATTACCTACCCGTCAAAACGTAACTTTTAATTTATTTGCTGGCTACATTGAGTAATTACTCTTATGACCAGCTGGCATGCTTGTAACCATTACGAATCACACTCTCGTTGGATACAAAAATAGGTACAACACTTTCTTGCATTGAATACGGATATTGATAGTTTACAGCAATCTGAATTCGAGAATTCGATACAAAATAATATTATCGTTTATCAAATCAGACTTGGATAATAATATAATTATTTTCCGTGACCACAATCAAAATAATGTATGCGTGAGTATAGAATTTAGTGAAGTTATTAGTTACTTAATTAACTACAACGTAGCCATGGTGTATGGTCAATGAAGAAATCATTTTTCGGTTCAAAAATATTAGATACATCCATTTTATTGTTCAGTGATCCACGCTAAAAATTGGTTTGTTCATTTGTATTTGATATATTGTATCTTATAAAACATATTTTCATCAACGATCAACAATCTCAGTCGTACAAAAGACTGCTGTCAAGTACAGATTACAGTTGAAAGGTATTATTTAATTAATTTCATTGTTTTCTAATTAAAATATATTTTTTTAAATTGTTTTAGTGATAACTATTGCTAAAGCGTATAGTTGTGCATGATGTTATTTTAAAACTAAATATTTTACTTCACGTATGAAGTAATTTTATTAGACCTGTTGGTTTTACTTTAAGATTTGTTTAATTTATTCAATAGTAAAGTTTTGCCTCCAGAGTCGTTTTATATTCATCCATCTACTGTTAAAAGAAATTACACAGAATTTAATTTATAAATAATTATATTAAGGTTATAAATAATATTTTTTTGCGAGACTATAATTATATAATTAAATCAATTATAAGTAGCTAATAATTATTTTTAAAACAACATTTTTGCCCCTCAAATTTTGGCCTTACCTATCCCCCAAATTGATGGTTAATAAATAGTAATTACATAATTTAACTATAGATCCCCTGTATTAATTTATGTTACTTATAAAAAAATTGTATTTTCAGAAATATTTATTTATTCAATTAATAACAACTATGGAAGCTAGTCTTAAACCAGTAGTAAGTATTAAATGTTGTATAATTTAAAATATTTGAAATTCGATGTAATTATTAATAATATTAATCATACATTCAACAATTATTGAATCTTACTAAAAATGTGTATTATATATTTATAAATATATATCTAAGTTTATAAAATACAATTTATTGTACTGTTGTATATTTTTTTTTAAGATATGTTTCATTTTATTGAATTAATCTTATTTTTAGAAAATATTTAGAATTATTTTTTTAAACGATTTTACTTTAGGAAATATTTAATTTGGTACGATCAATTATCCAAAATGTAAATATTAACAATTTTGATAAAATGGCACACACAATTATTTCCATACCACTGAAATCAATTTATATATTTGAGAACATAGTGGATATAATTTATTTTCTGGTATATAAATATTATTAATAATTATAATAGTTATTAAATTTGTTGTTTTACTTATCTAGGCTTTAAATAGGCCCGATTTTACAGTTTTATATGCAAAGTTATGTGCATACATGGCCAATCATACTGCATTTAACAAACTTCACAATTCTAAAACTACTTTCCAGAAAGTTTTAGCACAAAAAATCTTTGATATGTTCACCTCATATTATACTCGTACTCCTCAGAAAGAAGTACATAAATTAAAAAAAAATTTTATGAACAGTAATATGGTAACTAGTTATAATTTTTTAATATAATAATAGTATTTTTGTGATTATATTAGATTTTATAATATAATCTATAATTATTAGTCTTAAGTCATTTCAAGCTTAAGATAAATCTCAGTACTGATACTTGCATAGTTAATTTTTATTTATAAATAAACTGATTTGTATCATTTTAAAATTTTAAATCAAGACTTATTCATACATAATATGATTTAGGTACCCAAATGTATATTATATAATTAACAATAATAGCTAACAATTAAACTGAGTAGAATTACTCAACCAAACTACTAAAACTTGACCATTCTTATTTGCCTTTGACTAAAACCATATTATATTCAAATACATTTTCCACCAATTGATAATATATGTTTTTTAATTTAATTATCAAATAATATAAATATTTTATATCTGTTATAGACCCCATCTTTTTTCAAGAATATATTGAATAGTTTTCATTTCCAATATTATAAAAGGTCTTTAGCCCATTGCAAGTATGTTTTCAAGTAAAATTAATTAATAATTTGTATATATTGTACGAAATAATATTTTTATAGATTTATCGGTGAATTATTCAAACAAGGGGCTTTTACCGAAAAAAATATATTGTCCTTCATTCACGAATTAATGAAAGTGAAAGATATTCTGAATATTCATTGCTTATGTATAATATTACAAATAGCAGGACAAAAATTATCAAAAGTAATAACCAAAATAGTAAAGTATTAGGAAATTATTGAATAAATAATCTCTTATTTCATTTTTTTAGACTCATAATTTGGACGGTATAGTACATCATATTTTATTATTTAAAAATGAAAACACTGTCCTCATAAAAATGTCACCAACTCTTCAGTCTTTGATATTCAAAATACAAAACTTGCATTTAAAATGTTGGATACATGAAGGTAATAAAGTCAATTTTTAAATTATACTGTATAAATATTATTATTCATTAGAAAAAATGTACTATTAAGTTACTATATTATGCATTTATTTTAACAAATTTTTTTTTAGATTTAGTTAGGTTTTATAATACGTCATGTATAATTATAATTTTTTTCGTAATACAGTGAAACCTCGGTATCTCGAAGTCGTAAGGGACCAAAAAAAAAAATTCGACATGTCAAAACTTCAAGTTAGAGAGGGAATTTAAAACATAAATAAAATTTGAAATAAAAATGTTTAATTATTGGGAAAAATGTGTATTTATAATATAGAATGTATTTATACATTGAATACATATTATGTATTAGTATTCGTCATTTGGATAAGTATACATTATTTTCTATGAAAGTAGAAAATCTGACATTTTTGTTTGTTTTTGTTTAGTATTAGAAGTATTTTCAATAAAACTACCTAAAATATTAAGTGCAGAAAAAATATTGTTAGAAACTCCTGACTGTTGTTGAACGTACATTCGAGTTCATGTATGTAGTTTTCAGCTTGGGCACCACGTATGAAAGGTTTAACAACAGCAATTTCTTCTTCGTCGATTGCTTCATCGGCAGAATCTGTCTCTGGCTCACTGAGAAAATCAGATGTTTTAAAAATTTCCGCATCGGTTAAACTTTCTGATGTGCTCAAAATAGAATCAATATCCAAAAATTATTACATACACCGTTGTGTGTATAAGCTTTGTCATTTAATCTTATATTTAATAGTCTGGGCATTTTATACGTTATCTAATCTGTCATATATTCGAGTTAGTGAATCATAATAGGTGGTAGGTACCGGATAATGACTTTGACTTATAGAAATATTCGGCATATGGAAATTCGATATAAGGAAATAACTGAGTACGTAAGTCCAATACTGAATGATGGCGACTGAAAAAAAATTCGACCTACAGAAACTTCGAGATACCGGAGTTCGAGATACTGAGGTTTCATTGTAATATATTCAACAATTTGAATTTTAAAATCTTAAGTTATGCATTTTATTTATGTTTAGCAGTTATACAAAGTTGTAATATTACTTTCAAATTGTATATTATAAAGTAGGATAAAATTATTTTGTAATTTTGTATTAGTATAAATTTTTATGCAGTAATAAATAATTGCTTTTAAAAATTTTTCTTAACAATGATCAGTTTGCAATAATGATTCCTTCAAATTTTCATAACGAAGACGTCAAAATCGTATTTTATTAAATTAAATAAATAATATACAAAATAAGGTACATGATATCTTCTGAACAGTTTTAATTTAATATATTTTTGATTGAATCTAAATAACATAATTTATTAACTATTTTAATAACTAATTTTTTACAGAACCTCTTAAGTTAATTGAGGACAATGAACACTATATTTCCTTTGAAAATTTGCCGGAGCAATTAAAAAAACTATATGATCTTAAATCATATACAGTAATGGCCCAATGTATTATTGATGAATGTATGGCTGTTCTTAACGGTTTTGACATGATAAGTATCAATGTATGTAGTAGGTTTATTTATTTTATTATCAGTATTTTAAATATAAAAAATAATAAAATAAGAAGAAGAATACATTTTGATTATTGTAGTACTATTAGATTGTTGTTATGAAGAAGAATAATAAATAATTATTCCACATTTTTTATAACTCATCAAACAAATCTACTAAAACATCCTAGATATCGATCATCAGAAACTTAAAATTTGAAATATTTATTTCGTACTAATATTAAACTTTTTTTTTACATAAATATCATAAAATATATAACTATTTAACCATCAAAGTTTATATTATTATTCATTATAATACCAATAACTTTTTGATTTCACCTTATGTTTATTTATTTAAAAATATTTACAGGAAATAGTACATTCGTTAAATAATATCAACTCGTGGATACATTACGATCAAGTGTCATTCGTTGCTTCTATGATACTTATAACACTAAATGAAGACCAAAGTATTCGCCAAAAGGCTGGTATACTTTTAAACATATTTATTAAG